CCCCATTCCCAGGATCTGGTAACCATTCTCTCTGCTTCTGTGAAATCAACATTTTAGCTTCTAGATATGAGACAGCACATGTGGTATTTGTCCTTCTATGGCTGGGTTATTTCACTTAGCATGCCCTGCAATTCCATCCATGCTGCAAGTGACTGGATTTTTTAAGATTTATTTTATTTATTTGAAAGGCAGAGTTACAGAAAGAGAGAGGAGGACAGTGTGTGCGAGAGAGAGCAAGAGAGATACAGAGAGCTTACATCTGCTTGGTTCACTCCCTAAATGGCTGCAATAGTCAGAGCTGGGCCAGGCCAAAGTCAGGAGCCTGGAACTCCACCTGAGTATCTCAAGTGAATATCAGGGGTCCAAGCACTTGGTCCATCTTCTGATGTTTTCACAAACATATTCACAGGGACCTGGATCAAAAGTTGAGCAGTCAGGACTGGAACTGGAGCTCAAATGGATGCCAGAGTTGTGGGCAGTGGCTTAACCAACTGAACAACAACAGCAGCCCCCAGAATTTCATTTGTTTTTCTGACTAAATAGGATTCCGTTGTATATAATATTCATCTGTTCGTGTGTCAATGGACACCTAGGAAACTTCTCTGTCTTAGCCATTGTGAATAATGCTGTGATAACAATGAGATCACAAGTATCTACAGAAGAGGGACAGTATTCACTGCACAAGGCATTCTCAAGGGGAAGGTGCTCAGCAGAGTGGCTTCACCTGGGGCTTTTGCATTTGGGGTAGGTGAAGATGGGTCATGGACCAGCTCTTAAGAGTGAGGGAAAAGATGCCACCAAGAAGATGCTGGCCAGGATGGAGCTGGGAGAGCAACAGTCCACCACAAGGTGCCTGCCAAACTAAGCCAGCGTATAGGCATCAGAGTGGGGAAAGGAGTTAGGGGAATTACGATCAATTAGGTCCTCATTATGCCAGGCAGGTGCCATGATCTCCCTTTCATAATAGCTACCTTTGAATGAGCATCCATTGAGTCTCAGGTACTTTCTGTCCATGAACTCACTTACTTCACAGTGATTACTCTGTGAGTTGGTCATTAAAATCTCCACTGTTAAATTAGGCAACAGGAACTCAGAAAAGTTAAGTGGCTTGCCTGAAGTTACACAGCTGGTGCAGACCCAAGATTTGAATCAGTTCTGATCACTTTGAAGTTAGTGTTTGCTATGCTAGTCAGTCAGTCATTCCTCAGTGCCAACACTCCCCCAGATCTTGGGCACAAGAGTTTCCATAGGAAAAAAGGACATCCTGACTGTTAGTCATGATAGGACAGCATAAATTCTGTAACAGGTACCATCCAAATCTCAGGGGTTTAAGGTAATCAATAACTCTAATCAGTGTCACAGTCTGGTGCTGCTTGGAAAGGGTGGGGGTGGGTTTGGTTGATGGACTACTTGTGCAGTCATTCTGGGGTCCAAGTTCATTTCATGGTGTTTCTTGTCCATCTTTTACATCCTTAGAATCTCTTATTGAGTCCTTTGTAATCTGCCAACAGATACGGGAAAAGGGAATATAAAGGCAGACATTTGGCACAGCAGTTAAGCTGCCCCTTGGCACACCCTCATCCAATTCCAGAGGGCCTGGTTCAAGTTCCAGGACGTCACCTCCAATTCAGATTCCCTCTAATGCACAGTCTAGAAGGTAGCAAGTGATGAGATTAAGTACTTGGGGCCCTGACCCCCCATGTGGGAGTTTCAGTCTGCCAACTTTGGCCTGGCCTAGCCCTGGCTGTTGGTGGGTATTTGACAGTGAAGCAGCAGATGGAAGATTCTGTGTGTGTGTGTGTGTGTGTGTGTGTGTCTCTCTCTCTCTCAAATAAATTCGTACCTAAAACTGCAGAGTATAGGGTGGGGGCCCATCTGTTCAACTTCCAAAGGGCCTGGGGAATGTACTTCAGTGGTGAGCCCAATGAGAAGAGGAAATGGATTCAGTGAACATCTGTGCAGTCCCCAGAGTATCAGCTCTGCTGATTTCTTGCTTGTGATCTTGGATGGGGTACTTAACCACTCTATGCCTTCACTTCTTCATCCATAGCATTAAGGTAATGATATCATCTATGTTATGTGACAAGATTAAGCAAGGATTAAAACACGTGAAACATTTAACACAGAGGCTAGCACACAGTGAGCACTTGATAAATGATATCAAGCTGTACTCGCGCCATCTTTTAGAGACCATAATGCATGTTAGTGTAGAAGTCCTCAGAAGTCTCAAAGGAGAGAGACTGTCCTTTTTTTTTTTTTAAATGTTGATTAACCCAGGCTTTCCCAAACATGTTTGTCCTGCAAAACTGTGTTTTTTTTTTTTTTTTTGGTATGACACCTTTCAGCATCCAGTGAAACTGGTATTCTCTGAAACATACTTTGGGAAACTACACTCTCCTTCTGGTCATAGACTCCAATAAAGATGGTCAGCACCTTGGAAATATTTCTGTTGGATGTTAACTTATTCTTTCTATTCATTATCTCCTGTTTGCAGGACTGGTGGAGGAATGTGGCTTTTAAAAAATGCAGACTCTATCAGCACTTTTACCTCCTCTTCCTCCTCTGTCCTCCCACTCCCACTCCTTCTCCCCATCCCCCTCCTCTTCCTTCTCTTCCTATTCCCCCTCCCCCTCCCCTCTTCTCCCTCCTGTTGGGGGAAGGGACAGAGAGATGGTGTCTTTGTAGGGGCTGGGCTTTCCAGGAGGAGATGCAAACTGGACCCATGGCTAGGGTGGCCGTAGTGTAAGCAACAGCATGGAAGTCCAGATGGACCAAGTCAGTCCTCCTCTATAACCTTCCAGATGGAAGCTTTGAGAATCTGCTCTCAAGCACGCCACAGATCATTCCAATGACCTTACTCTCTTCCTATGCCTGTGAAGGAAGGTGGGAAAGTGTTCTCTGCTGGTTCTCAGGTAGAAACAACTGTTTCTGAGACGCTGTGACCCCATAGTTGACCCCTTCTCAAGACCCTAGACCCTTCTTGGTTGCATCTCTCTGGCTTCCTCTGTTTCCTGCCTGGCCCAGGGAATGAGCTGCTCTCATGACATCTGGGAGTCAGGGTGGCTGGAAACAGATGTAGTTCTATTCTCATTGTGGTGAGCTGCCACCTGCTCACCAAGCCATCCCAAATGGAAGCATAATTAAAAGAACCTTTTATTTTATTTATTATTATTTTTTTCTTTTTTTAGATTCATTTTACTTATTTGAAAGAGAGGGTTACAAGTTAGAGAGAGAGGTAGAGACAGAGAGAGGGGTCTTCCATCTGCTAGTTCACTCCCCAGATGGCCACCACTGTCGGAGCTGTGCCAATACAAAGCCAGGAGCTTCCTCTGGTCTCCCATGTGGGTGCAGTGGCCCAAGGACTTGGCCTTCTTCTACCACCATCCCAGGCCACAGCAGAGAGCTGGATCAGAAGAGAAGCAGCCAGGACTAGAACCAGCGCCCATATAGGATGCCGGCACTTCAGGCCAGGGCTTTAACCCTCTGTGCCATAGTGCTGGCCTCCCAAAGAACCTTTTGAAAAAGATTCATGCATTTATTTGGAAGTCAGCGTGACAGAGATGTGAGAGGGGAGAGGGGAAAGGGGAGAGGGGGATGGGGGAAGGGAAGGGGGGAGGAGGGAGAGGGGAGAGGGGGAGGGGGGAAGGGAAGGGGGGAGGAGGGAGAGGGGAGAGGAGGGGGGCGAATTTTTTTCTTATCCCAAAATGGGTGCAACAGCCGAGGCCGGGCCAGGTGCCTGGAACATCATCCAATTTTCCCACATGGGTGGCAGGGGCCCAAGCACTTGTACCATCTGCTGCTGCTTTCCCAGGTGCATTAACAGAGAATTGGTTTACATGTTGAGCAGCAGACTTGACCCAGTACTGCAATATGTTATGATGGCAGCTTAACCTGCTTTGACATAGTACAGCCCCCCAACAAAAAACTTTAAAAAGCAACTTACTGACACACTCCTCCAACATACAACATTGTCCTTAAGTTTCTATTTCATGAAAATGACTGGAATTTTATTTGTTTTCTCTCTCCCTTTCTTCCTGCTCCTCACTCTTGAAGCCTCCTTCCTTTCTCTTTCTTTGTCTCTTTCTTTCAGATTTCTTTATTTATTTGAAAGGTAGAGCTACATAAAGAGAGGAAGAGAGAGAGAGATTTTTCATCTGCTGAATCCAGGAATCAGGAACTCTTAACACCTGGGTCTCCAACAGGAGTGGCAGAGAGCTAGGCACTTGTACCTCCCCCGCCTCCCTCTCTGCCTCTTCCCCCTCTGCCTCCTCCCCATCCCCCTCCACCTACCCCTCCTTCTCCTCTTCCCCCTCCCCTTTGTCCTCCTTCCCCCCTCCTTCTCCCCCTAACCTACTCCTTTTCCTCACCCTCCCCCCTTTGCCCCATCCCCCTCCTCTCCATCTCCTCCCCCCCTCCTCCCCTTCCTCCTCTTCTTCTTTTCTTAGGCACATCAGCAGGGAACTAGATGGGAAGTGGAGCAGCTGGGACTTGAATCGATGCTATAATGGCAGACAGTGGCTTATCTGGTAATTATCCTGGAGCAGCCATGGCCAGATCACTGAGTGTTCATACTTCATCCGAGGGACCTTGATTGCTGGGCTTTGTACCCATATCAGCCAATGCATCTGTCCCCTTAACTACAAGACTGTATTCTTTAGCATCCCATCACTTGGTCAATAACTGTGTAGTGGCTTTTGAAACTCCGTAAGGACACATCAGCCAACTGCAAAACAATGACCAAAAATGAAATTATTATTACTTTGGGGAACAGATGGGTTTATCCCCAGCTATTTTACCTCTCTTATGGTATATAGCCATAGTAAGCAGTGTTTGCTATAGCACAGAGTTCCCCGTGCCTAGAAGAAATCAAGGTGTGAAGTGAATACTCAGACAACCATAGATACTAAATGTACAACCATGTAGTGGTCTTCCAGAGTAGAAGTTATATTATTTATGATTTTTGCTTGAGTCAGAAACAAGTTCTGCACATTTTTGCCAGTTGTTAGTCTTTACACAGGAATCACAGCTTGCACAATAGGCATGAAGAGCCAGTCAGGGACTTCTTTGGGGAGTTTTCCAAATTAGCCTACCCATATCCCATTGTGGGCATCATTGGGTAATTTGAGGATAAATTTAAAAGTTAATTTTAGAGAAACATGGTCTGCTGGAGGAGTGGTGATTTTCAGTACCTGAAAGTCTCTAAAAACTATCCACACACACAGATTAAATTCAAGTGGGGCACTGATGTTTGATGTCCGCCTGTGAGAGGTAGAGCTACAGACAGAAGGAGAGACAGAGAGAAGGGTCTTCCATCTGCTGGTTCACTCCCTAAATGGTTTCAACGGCCAGAGCTGAACTGATCCAAAGTCAGGAGCATCTTCCAGGTCTCTTACACGGATGCAGGGACCCAAGGACTTGGACCATCTTATAGCATATGCAGAGAACTTACGGTTCCCAGACCATAAGCAGAGAGCTGGTTGGAAGAGGAGCAGCCAGGGTGCTAACTGGTGCCTATATGGGATGCTGGCACCACAGGCGGAGGCTTAGCCTGCTATGCAACAGTGCTGGCTCCAATCGAACAGCACACCCCTGATCGGGGCCCCGAAAGTCAGAGATGCCGGCGGCGGAGGCAGCCAACAGGACCTGCAGGACAGACAGTGGCTGGTAAGCTCCCACGGCTTCCTGAGGAGGAGTAGGGGCTGGGAGGGGGCGGGGCCTTGGAGAGTAAGGGGTGGGCCTTGGACAAGATGGGGCGGGGCCTCAGGAGCATGTGCAAGTGAGGGGGCGGGGCCTCAGAGAGGAAGGGGCGGGGCTGTGGACAAGGGCGGGCCTTGGACAAGAAGGGGGCGGGCCTTGGACAGCAGGCTCTGGGGTGGTCACCATCGGCCCCCACTCACCTCCTGCCGCTTGCCCTCGTGGTGGCTAAACTTGGAGAAAAGGCCACTGAAGAGGTTCCCGCAGCAGCAGGCCACATGCACCAGGGGCCCCTCCTTGCCCAGGCTGAGCCTGAACGACACCATCAGCACCAGCGTCACTGTCTTGATTAGCAGCGTCCACTTGCCCAGGTAGCCCCGGATCACGAAGCCTCTCAGGATGGTCTTGACCTGAAGTGGGTGATGATGGGAGATGAGGGTCAGGGACAGTGTTGGGAGCCATGCCCACCCATGGAGCCACACCCACCCACAGGATCCACGCCCACCACATCCACCACTCACCTCCGGGATCCCAGAGCCGCTGGTGTAGGATGCGAACACATGCACCACAGACACGGTCAGGAAGGCAAACAACAGCGCCCACAAGACGTACATCAGGTAATTGAGGACGTAGTTGCTGGCCCCTGGATGGTGGACAGAGGGGATGGACATGGCCGACGCTGAGGGCGATGCCCTCGGGTCCCCTGGCCCTGCCCACCCCCAATGCCCTCAGTCCCAAGGCCCCGCCCCCGGCCCCACCTACCTTAGAGCAGCTGACCAGCAGCTACGCCCACGTCTGCCACAGTGGGCAGTGGTTCGGGTCCTTGAACGTGGTCTCGTTGGACATCCAGCAACACTGCTTGTGGCTGAACCAGAAGGTGGACAGGCACATGCCCTCCTTCAGGTCGATGACCCTGGTCCACAGTCAGGTCGATGACTCAGGCCAGGGTGCCTGCAGGGGAGCAGTGGGGGGCCAGACATCACCAATAGATCAGGACCCACTCTACAGGACTCACTGCCCACAGCAGACATCACCAATTGATCAGGATGCACTCTAAGGGACGCCCTGCCCACAGCAGACATCACCAATCAATCAGGACCAGGGGCAGCGAGGGCAAGACATCACCAATCAGGACACACTCTACGGCGGGCACAGTGACGTCAGCAGGGGCAGGCGGGGAGGGGAGGGACTGGGAGAGGAGGTCTGCGCAGAGACCCGGCTTCCATGTCAGTGGTCAGTGGGGACGCAGGCGGCTGAGGCGCTGAGAGCGCGCGGGACGCGGGAGACGCCGGGGACGCGGGCACTGAGGGCGAAGGTGGCGGCGGCTGAGGTGCTGAGGGCGGCTGAGGGTCCGGGGAACGCGGGCGGCGGCGACAGAAGCTGAGGGATGCCAGTGGGGGCAGCGACTCCCGGGCGGCGTCGCCCCTTAGGCCCCGTCCCCGCTGCGCGCCGCCATCTTGCGCCCTCGGTGCGGCCATGTTGGGTCCTTGGGAGGGGTCGGGGCACACGGAGGCCACGCCCCTTCCACCTTTGCTCCGCCCCCTGCGCGCTGCTGCCCGCCATCTTGACTCTTCCATATTTTTTCCTGTCATAACAACTCCACAGAGGGGTTATATTACATTAGGTGTCATAAATCATCACCCCAGTGTTAAATCCATGACAGGAGCTCCATCTGGGTCCCCGCTGGCCCCCTCTTGTGTTTCTTCTTCTGTCACCCCGTGCATGCATTCCCTCCCTGGGGGCCGGTGCACCTGCTAGAGACCCGGATGGAGCTCTGGGGACCCAGTTGGAGCCCTGTGCACCTGCTAGAGGCTCAGATGGATCTCTGGGGTGTGCCGGCCTGCAGCACAATGAACCGGGTTTCCTGAAACAGAGTGGGAATGCAGGGACAAGGACAAAGAATGGAGCCAAGACAAGTCCTGATCAAGGCTCGTTTATTGAACAAATCCAGTAGTATTTAAACATGACCAGTTGTTTACAAGAAGGAGCACAAAAGATTTACATATCAAAAAGGCTTTTAAGGTTACAAAGAGTTCCAGATAAGGTTCTTAATTATTGATTACACTTAGGTGATAAATGCAGGTTTCAGGTGTGACTGATTATCTATATCATCTCTTGTGAAAGGTTTAGGTTCTTCCTGCCTCTTTCTGGAATCTCCCTAGCCTAATTGTCTGTGCCAGGAAGTCTCCATTCATATGTTTAAGTGTAAACAAAGGGAGTGACTGCCTGTGACTGCCCACACTGGGGGGCCAGATGGAGCCCTCCAGACCCAGATGGAGCCCCTGGGGGCCCTGTGCACATGCTAGAGACCAGGATGGAGCCCTGGGGACCCAGATGGTGCCCTGTGCACCTGCTAGAGGCCTGGATGGATCTTTGGGGGAACCAGATGGAGCCCTCGAGACCCGGATGGAGCCCCTGGGGGCCCCGTGCCCCTTCTGGGGACCCGGATGGAGCACCTGGGGGCCCCGTGCATCTGCTGGAGGCCTGGCTGGAGCCCCTGGGGGCCCAGTGTACCTTCTGGGGACCCGGATGGAGTCCCTGTGGGCCCCGTGCATCTGCTGGAGGCCCGGATGGAGCCCCTGGGGGCCCCGTGCCCCTTCTGGGGACCCGGATGCAGCCCCTGGGGACCCCGTGCATCTGCTGGGGACCTGGATGGAGCCCCTGGGGGCCCCGTGCACCTTCTGGGGACCCGGATGGAGCCCCTGGGGGCCCCGTGCATCTGCTGGAGGCTGGGATAGAGCCCCAGGGGGCCTCGTGCACCTGCTGGAGGCCTGGATGGAACACCTGGGGGCCCCGTGCACCTTCTGGGGACCCGGATGGAGCCCCGGGGGCCCCGTGCATCTGCTGGAGGCCTGGATGGAGCCCCTGGGAGCTCCGTGCACCTGCTGGAGGCCTGAATGGAGCCACTGGGGACCCCGTGCACCTTCTGGGGACCCGGATGGAGCCCCTGGGGGCCCCGTGCATCTGCTGGAGGCCTGGATGGAGCCCCTGGGGGCCCCGTGCATCTGCTGGAGGCCAGGATGGAGCCCCTGGGGGCCCCGTGCACCTTCTATGGACCCGGATGGAGCCCCTGGGGGCCTCCTGCACCTTCTGGGGACCCGGATGGAGCCCCTGGGGGCCCCGTGCACCTTCTAGTGACCCGGATGGAGCCCCTGGGGGCCCCGTGCCCCTTCTGGGGACCCGGATGGAGCCCCTGGGGGCCCCGTGCACCTGCTGCAGGCCTGGATGGAGCCCCTGGGGGCCCCATGCACCTGCTAGAGACCCTAATGGAGCCCCTGGGGTCCCTGTGCACCTTCTAGGGACCTGGATAGAGCCCCTGGGGGCCCCGTGCATCTGCTGGAGACCTGGATGGAGCCCCTGGGGGCCCTGTGCATCTGCTGGAGGCCTGGATGGAGTCCCTGGGAGCCCAGTGCACCTTCTGGGGACCCGGATGGAGCCCCTGGGGGCCCCGTGCACCTGCTAGAGACCCTGATGGAGCCCCTGGGCGCCCTTTGCACCTTCTAGGGACCCGGATGGAGCCCCTGGGGGCCCCGTGCATCTGCTGAAGGCCTGGATGTAGCCCCTGGGGGCCCTGTGCACCTTCTGGAGGGCTGGATGGAGCCCCTGGGGGCCCTGTGCACCTTCTGGGGACCCGGATGGAGCCCCTGGGGGCCCTGTGCACCTGCTGGAAGCCTGGATGGAATGCTCCAGGCTCCTGACTCCAGCCTGGCCCCACCCCTTGGTTGTTGCTGTGGGCATTGCAGGCATGAACCCTGTGGATGGCAGAGGGCGGAGGATGCTGTACTAGGACAGGGACTGGGTAGACAAGAGCCGCGATGCCAAAAAATTCTTTAAAAAGAGCGGGGGGAGCTCTCAACCCAGGGGCAGGGCTCTCAGCCCAGGTTGGGGGGGGGGTTCTGAGCTCAATGGGCTCCCTCCTTCCTTCCCTGCACTTCTGGGTTCCTAAGTCACTTCTGGTCCACTTCCGTCCCTTTTATACCCATTTTTGGATACTTCTGGTCCACTTCTGAGTTCTTACAGTCACTGCAGGGTGTCTCTGGGGGTTCCTGGGGGGTCTCAGGTGTCTCTGGGGGTTTCTGGGGGGGGGTCCCTCAGGGTCTCAGCATCTCTGGGGATCACTCGGGGTCCCTTGCATCTTTTGGTGTCTCAGGGGTTTTCTGGGGGGTCCCAGGGGTCTCAGGGTTCCCAGGGGTCTCTGGGGATCTCTGGATCTCTCAGCATCTCTGGGGGCCACTTGGGGTCCCTGTGTGTCTCTCGGAGTATCAGGGGGTCTCTGGGAGCTCTGGGGGGTCTGTGAGGGTCTCAGGGGTTCTCTGGGTGTCTCAGGTTCTCTGGGGTCTCTGGGTGTCTTTCAGTGTCTCTGGGGGTCCCAGGGGTCTCAGTGGGGACACCTGTCAACACCGATCACCCCTGCCCATCACTCAGAAACCTGTCACTCAGGAAAAACATTTTAATTCTCATACAAGTTTCTGTCAGGAAATCGGTCCTGGGTCCGAAAGGCAACTTTCCTTGACAGGGACGCCCTCGAGTTTCTGTCAGAGAAGTTTTGCCAGAATCCAATATGGCTGCCACTGCTGTCCAAAATAATTAAAAATAAATTCATTAAAAATTAATTTTAAAAATTCAGAGATTAATTTAAAATAAATTCAATTAAAATTAATTTAAAATTTTATTTAAAAAATTAAAAATTCATTAAGGAATTAGTGCGCCCGCTAGCGTTGCCTAGAAACTGGGTTAAGCCCAGAGGTCCGGGTTGTCTGTGGCTGTTGCCTAGCAACAGAGAGCTGGCCAGAGGCCCTGAGGGCGCCTGCATGGGTTGCGTAGCCATGTTCCCACGGTCCTGGCCGGAGGCTTCGGGGGTCCCAGGTGGACCAGAAATGGAGCTCCTGGGGCCCCTGGGCACCTGCTGGGAACCCGGATGGAGCCCTGTGCACCTGCTAGATACCCGGATGGAGCCCTGGAGACCCAGATCCAGGGGTGGGGGAGGGGCGGGGGTCTCTGCCCTTAGGGACACTCACTGGGGCTCGGCGATCCCTCCCTTCCCCCGAATCTGGGCTCAGCCCAGAGGTGCCAGGGCACCATGTTTTCCCACGGTTCCCGGATTGTCCCATGGTCCTGGCCTGGCGGCCACTGGGTTATCCCAGCTTTGTTGAGGTCCCAGCTGGACCAGAAATGGAGCTCCTGGGGGCCATGAGCACCTGCTGGGGACCCGGATGGAGCCCCGGAGACCCAGATGGAGCCCTGGAGACCTGGATAGATCCCTAGGGACCTCTGGAGACCCAGATAGATCTCTGGGGACCCGGATAGAGCTCCTGGGAGCCCTGTGCACCTGTTGGGGACCCGGATGGAGCCCCTGGTGGAAGCTCAGGGCCTAGAGATGGGGCGGTGTTATCATGATTGGCAGCCAGAAAGAGGCGGGACTATGGTGTTTGACAGTCCTGATCCCCAAACCTGTGTCCCCACAAGGCACAGGTGGTGGGGAAGACGGTGCTGGAGTAGGAGTCCCAGGGGTTTCTGGGAGCCAGAAGTGGGGTCCTGGCTTCTCCCAGGGGATTCTGGGAGCCAGATGTGGGGGTCCATCCATGGAACATTCCAGAAAGACCACAGAACCCACAGTCGTGTGCAATGCAGTTTATGGCGTCAGTGAGAGAGAGGAGCAGAGAGAGGGTGAGCTGGGGACAAAGGCTTCCAGGACATTCTAGAACATTCCAGAACATTCTGGAAGCTTCCAGTGGCGATTGCGTCCGAGGGGCAGGGAGACATCGGCGAGAGTATCTCGGCTGTTCTGTTGCGGGGGGGAGAACAGAGAAAAAAGGAATGTTCTGGAATGTTAAATAATGTTCAAGAACATTCCAGAGAATTCTAGAACATTCTGCAACATTCTGCAACATGGCCACACCCACTGGGGCGATCGTGGCCGTGTTGGGAGCATCTAGAATGTTCCAGGGCATTCTAGAATAATCTGGACAATCTAGAACATGGCCCCGCCCACTGGGGGCAATTGTGGCCTTGGTGGGAACATCTAGGGCATTCCAGAACATTCTGGGATATTCCGGAATGTCCAGAAAGCTCTCCTGGGGAGGTGCGGGGACCAGCTGGCACCACGGCTCTGCTCACCGGGGCCTCAGCATTGGTGTCACTGGGGACAGGTGTCTGTCAGGGAGAGAGAGACACAGCTGAGTCAGCACAGGGCAGCCCATGGGCTGCACAGAACGTTCCGGAATTTTCTGGGACTCCCTGGAACATTCTGGGTTTTTCTGGAGCCCCTTGGAACGTGCCAGCCATGCCCCCTCCACCCAGCTCTCACATGCCGGCCCCGCCCCTGACTTACGGCCATGCCCACAATGGCCACGCCCCCACTCCCACCTGGCCATACCCCCTCCACCCCGGCCACACCCCAGGCTCACCCGTGCCGGCCACACGATCCACATTCTCCCTGGGAATCCCAGTCTCCTCTGTCAGCGCCGTGAACCGCGCCAGGTGCTCGTCACTCAGCTCCTGGTCCCAGGCTACAGGGAATGCTGACTGTATACACTCACCCTGTCTAGTTGGCGCCCACTGCATACCACCAGGTTCAGTGTTGACTGTATACACTTACGCTGTCTAGTGGGTACCCACTGCTTAATGCCGGGGCAGCACAAGGTCAGCACCGACTGTATACATTCAGGGTGCCTCTGTCTAGTGTGCATCAGCTATATGCAGTCAGGGTGCCTCCATCTAGTTGGTGCCCTCAGTGTACCACTGGGGTTGGCGCCAACTGTATACACCCAGGCTGCATACTGCTGGCCGGACCCACCCGGGGCAGCATGCGGTTGGTGCTGTCTACACTCAGGGTCGGGATGGCTCTGCTAGTGTGTGCCAACTTTATACAGTCAGGGTCATGATGGCTTTCTCTCTCCAGTATGCACCGGCTGTGTACAGTTGACCAAATGCACCCAGGATAGGATGGGGTCAGGATGGCTCTGCTTAGTAAGTGCTGACTGTATACATTCAGCAAAAGCCACCTGGATATCTAGTAGGTGCCGACTGTATACACTCGCCCTGTCTGGGGGTGCCAATTGTATCTGCTCACTTTATCTAGTGGGTGCCAAATGTATACAGTTGGGGGCAGGCTCTCTGTAGTGGGCGCCGGCTGTATGCACGCGTGTGTGTAGGGTGCTCACCGGCGGCAAGGGTGATGCAGCTGACTGTGCCATCAGCTGAGGAAGACAATGTGGCCGTTGTCCTGCTCCAGGAACTTGAAGTAGTTATGGCCCTCAACTGTGGGGAAGAGGCGGGCATTTGGGGCATGCCAGGGCATGCTGGGACATTGTGCAACATTTCAGGGCATTATGGAGCATGCTGGGACATTCTGGGGCATGCTGGGACATCCCAGAAGCTTTATCTAGAACATTCCAGAACGTTATGGTATTGTGTAGAGCATTCTGGAACATCCTAGAATTGTCTGGCGCAAAGTTGGAAGATTCCGGAATGTTCTAGAACATTCCAGGAGATCCAGAAATGTTCTAGAACATTCCAGAAAAACATCATGGACCATTTGTGGAAGCATCTGGAAAATGCTAGAACACTCTGGGACATTTCTGGAAGACTGTGGAACATTCTAGAGCAAATCCGGGAATTTTCTGAAATATTCTGGGACATTCTGGAACATTGTAGAACATTGTAGAACATTCTGCAAAGCTCTCTTCCTGGAATATCACCTGGAGTCACCTGCGACCCCCCCCAGGGCTGTGCACAGACAATCCCACCCCCACCCCCTGCCCCTGCCCCTGCCCCATGGAATGTCCTGAAATTTTCTGGAACGTCCCAGAATCCCCCCCTGCACTCACAGTTGCATAGACGCCGTCCGCGTTCCTCTGGGCCACAACTGTGCAGGGTGCAGACCCCGTTTTCCCTGGGTGGGGGGATGGGCCGGGAGGACAGTTCTGGGATCCATTACTCCTGCCTGCCTGGTCTCTGGGCTCACCTGCTCCTGCCTGGCCTGCTCTCTGGGATAGATTGCTCCTGCCTGGCCCACCCACTCGATGGCTCTGGGATCAACTACTCATGAATGCCTGGTCTCTGGGATTGATTACTCCTGCCTGCCCTCTCTCTGGGCTCAGCTCATCTTCCTTGTGTCTCTGGGCTTGACTGCTCCCCCCTGGGCCATCTGCTCTCTGATTCTGGGCTCCACTGCTTTACCCGTCGTTCTCTCTGGGTTTGACTGCTCTCCCCTGACTCTCTGGGTTCGACTGCTCTTCCCTGACTCTGTCTCTTGGCTTGACTGCTCCTGTCTGCTCTCTCTCTGGGCTTGGCTAGTCTTCCCTATGTCTTTTGGATTGACTGTTCTCCCTGGGCCATATGCTCTGTGACTCTGGGCTCGACTGCTCTCCCCTGGCTCTCTCTGGATTCGATTGCTCCTATCTTCCCTGCTCTCTGAGTCTGGGCTCCACTGCTCCCCCCGTCTCTCCCTCTGGCTAGCTCGCCTGGCCCCACCCCCGCTCACTTGACATCTAAGCCAACCGTCAGCTCTCTGACTCTGGGCTCGACTGCTCTCCCGTCTCTGGGATCCACTGCTCCCCCCTGTGTCTCTGACTCTGGGCTCGGCTCGTCTCCCCTGGCCCTGCCCCAATGCTCACCTGACGAAGAAGGTGATCGTTAGTGCGTTGCCGCCCTGAATGTTTCCAAGCAGCACCCGCAGGGGGCCGCCGTCCGCGGTCAGGGCGGGGTTGTCAGAGGCAATGGTGATGGTGCGCCAGGGCCCAGAGACCTGAAGAAATGATGCAAATTGATGATGCGAATTAGTGATGCAAACTAATGATGCGAAGAAATGATGCGAACTAATGACGTGAACTAATGTCAATTAATGATGCGATTTAATGACGCAAATTAATAATGCCTGGGTGGGGTCAACGTTGGCACAGGGCACGCCCACCACGAGGGCGAGGAGGAGAGCCTTCATCACCGTCCTCATCCTCGTCTTCGTCGTCTTTGAAGCGTCTATTTATAGTTGGGGCTGGGGGGGCGGGAGTAGGCGGGGCCGAGGTCGTGCAAACATTTGGGTTACCGCCGGGGACGGGAGGAGGTACCTGAACGCTCCTGGAGATTTCATTCTCAGTGAAAAAACTGGCTCAGACCAGTTCCACAGTGTGAAATCCTTTAATCCCATTTCTCGCTCTACTTGCGCTGGGCTCAGGCTGGCTCCGGCCAGAACAAAGTGGCCAGGGGAAGCATGGGAGTGTGTGCCAGGACCTGCCTGCGAACACCTGGCACCAAATCTGGAAGATTGTATGGCATTTCTCGCTTCTGGAATTTTCTAGAATGTTCCAGAATGCTCTAGAACATAGCTTTTTTTTTTCCTTTGGGTCAGGAAATCAGTTTCTCTGACAGAAGTTGAAAAAAGGCCAAAGGTGAGTCTTTCATGAAAAAAATGCTTTAAAAAAATTTCTGGAATATTCCAGAATGTTGTAGAGTGTTCTTTCCATCAAAAATCCATTTTTCTAACAAAAAAAGTCAATAAATGAAAAGAAATGGCCTATGGAGAAACAACATGGAAGCAAATGTCTAGAACATCCTAGAATGTTCTAGAAAATTCTAGAATGATGTTTCTGTCAGGAAACGTGTTTTATAACATTCTTTCAGTGAGAAGATCCATTTTTCTGACAGAAAAGTGTCAAAAACATGACCCGAAATGAGGTTTCCATGGAAAAAAAATCTTAAAAAATTCCAGAATGTTCTGGAAGGTTCTTTCTGTCAGAAAACCTCTTTTACTGACAGAAAAAATCTAAAAACATGAGAAAAAATGGCCTAGGGACCTACAATCAACACACAAAAGCAATTTCTAGAACATTCCAGAGCATTCTAGAAACATTCTTTCTTAAAACCTGTATTTCTGACCAAAAAAGGTAAAAACAATCGCCCAAAAATGATGCTTCCATGAAGGAAATCTCAAAAAAAAAAAATTCCAGAATGTTCCAGAATGTTCTTTCAGTTAGGGAACCCCTGTTTCTGACAGAAAAAGTTTAAAAAAATGAGAAAAACTAGCCTAGGGAATATCAACAAGAAATCAATTTCTAGAACATTCTTGAATATTCTTTCAGTCAGAAAGTCCATTTTTGTGACAGAAAAAGGTCAAAAAAAGATAAAAATCTGTTTCCGCGGAAAACAAATCCTCAAAAAAATTCCAGAATATTGTAGATTGTTTTAGAAGGTTCCAGAATGTTTCTTTCTGTTAAAAAACCTGTTTTACTGACAGAAGTTTTTTAAAAAGATCAAAAAACAGCCTATGGAGAAACATGGAAACGACTTCTAGAAACATTCCAGAACTTTCTAGAACATTTTTTTCAGTCAGAAAACATGTTTTTCTTACAGAAAAAAGGCAAAAAAATGAGCGAAAATAAGGTTTCCATTAAAAAAAAATCTTAAAAAAACCCAGAATGTTCCAGAATTTTCTAGAAATTTTTTTCAGTCTGAAAACCTGTTTTCTGGCAAAAAAAGATTTAAAAAATGAGAAAAATGGCCTAGGGGCCAACAATCAACATGGAAGCGATTCCTAGAACACTCCAGAACATTCTAGAATATTTTTTCAGTCAGAAAATTCGTTTCTTTGACAGGAAAAGGTCAAAAAGCAACAAAAAATGAGGTTTCCATGAAAAAAAAAATAAAAAGTCCAGAATGTTTTGTCACCCCCAGAATCTGCCCCAGGAGCTCCACCCGGGCCCCCCCGCGAGCTCCCAGCAGCTTCCCAGGGCCCCAGACCGACCCCGCGAGCTGCGTCTGGGTCCCACAGGGGCTTCATCCGGGTCCGCAACAGCTTCCTGGGGACCCGTGCACCTGCCAGAGGAGACCCGGATGGAGCCCCTCTGCACCTGCTGGAGACCTGGATGGAGCCCACAGAGCCCTGCTGCTGCTGCGGTGCACGCCGGGAGTTCAGTATGGGGTGGAGTCAGGACCCGTGAACCCTGGGGCTGTTTTCGGGGGGTCGCTGTGCCCCCACCCCGGCGCCCCCGGCATCCCTGGCCACACCCCAGCTCACTCTGGGCGTGCAGCCCCGTGCTCAGCAGCAACAGCAGCAGCCCCAGGTGCACGGCGCGTGGCCATGGTGGGGCGGTGCCTGGGGGACACTGCACATGCGCAAAATCCGTGAGTCATAATGGGCATGAGCTAACATGGCCCAGGTTCACAATGTGCATGCGTCAAATTGCCCAGGGTCACAGTGCGCATGTGCGCTGGGTATGTTTCCTACTGCACATGCGCCTCATTCCTAGCCATGGCGGCCATTTTACACTGTGCATGCGTCGAAATGTCCGAGATCACACTGCGCATGCGCACAGGGCGGATTGATTGTGCACAGTTCCTAAACATGGGCATGGGGTTCACAGTGCGCATGCTGTAGAATCATGGGAAAATATAAACTAGCCTGTGGGTAATGAACAACTGTCGTTAAAAATGTGAAAATGTTGTAAACTGCGAATTTTATGCACAATATGAGACAAAATGGTCACAGAGGTATTCAGTAGCTTACATATATAAGGATCCTTTGGAAAAACAACAGTGATAAAGTGGCACCAGTGCTGAGAACTCGTGGGCAGGTAGAATTGGCATGTGGATTTCTATTTTGGGGTCTGTTGATTTCAGTAGAAGGTAGTTGCTTCATTTTCAGGTCTTTCACTAGAATGTCTAACACCAAGTCTCTCTCTGAGTTAGTTACTGCTTTTTTCTTTAAAGATATTATTTACGTATCTGAAAGAGTGAGGCAGAATTAGAGAGAAAGAGCGAGAGCAAGCGAATGAGAATTTGTTTTCCATCCACTGGTTCACTCTCCAGATGGCTGCAACAGCTGGAGCTGGGCTGATCCAAACCCAGGAATTAGAAACAACTTCTAGATCTCCCACGTGAGTGCAGGGGCCCAAGGATATGGGCCATCATTTACTTTCCCAGGCCATAGCAGAGAGCTGCATTGGAAGTGGAGTAGCCAGGACTCAACCCAGCGCCCATATCAGATGCTGGCACTGTAGGCGGCAGCTTTATCTGCTACACCACAAGGCTTTTCCCTGAGTTACTGCTTTTGAGGTCGGTAGGCTTGTGTGCATAACTTTTCTACTGGTCAGTAGGTAAAAGGACTCAGTGAAAATCCAAGTTAAATCAAAAAAGAACCCAATAAAGTCATCAAGGGAATATGCATATGTTGAAGTTTAATTTTCATAAGCCACTGAGAGATGGACACTTGTCTCAAAAGCTACATTCATGTGACTTTGCACATGTGCAGGAAGAGTTGGGTTAGCTCACATGGACTTGTAGGAATCAGAATACACAGGTGAGTCAAAGTTCTTCAGAACCTGGGAGACCTGTTTGCCTCTTCAGAGTTGCAGTCCTGCACCCTGTGCATTCGACAGGGTGGCACAAGTGACACACCAACATTTGAAAGGCCCTGGGGGAGGGCGGGAATCCCTTGATTCCAGTTGGAATCATCATGGAATATTGTAAATTTTTTTGATTATAGAAGTTTCTGATTTCTTCCAGACAAAACATCAGAAAAGCCCCTAAGAATGTTCTCAGACCAATCAATCTTCATTCCCCATGGAACAGGAAGAAGATGTACACAAGACTGATAGGCCCAAGAGCTGGGCAGTCCTGGTTTTTCACTCCTCCTGCCTTCTCAGTTTTTACCTTGACCTTCTGCTCAACCTTAGGATCTTCTCCAGAGTGATCATAGTTTTGTTCATGTACTAGTAGAGCTGGGAATGTCTGTCACAAGAGAGGGAATGTGGTAGACTGGGGGTTTGGGGGGAGCTCAGGCTACTGTGATCCAAAACTTTACTGTTGGCTCTTTCTGGAACAGGAGAGGTAGGAAAGGAGTCTCTCCTTTCAACCATATCCTCCACCATGCAGGCAAAGAAGGTCATGGGTATTTGCATGTTTCTCTGCCCTAAGGACTCACTGGAGTCTTTCAATTGCCTGTTTTTTTTTTCTTTTTATCTTCTTAAGATTTATTTATTTAAGCCGGTGCCGTGGCTCAATAGGCCAATCCTCCGCCTTGTGGCGCTGGCACACCGGGTTCTAGTTCTGGTCAGGGCACCGGATTCTGTCCCGGTTGCCCCTCTTCCAGGCCAGCTCTCTGCTGTGGCCAGGGAGTGCAGTGGAGGATGGCCCAAGTCCTTGGGCCCTGCACCCCATGGAAGACCAGGAGAAGCACCTGGCTCCTGCCTTCGGATCAGCGTGATGTGCCAGCTGCAGTGTGCTGGCCGCGGTGGCCATTGGAGGTTGAACTAATGGCAAAAAGAAGACCTTTCTCTCTGTCTCTCTCTCACTGTCCACTCTGCCTGTAAAAAAGGTATTTATTTATTTATTTATTTGAGACAGTTAGAGAGAGGCAGAGGCTGAGAGAGAGAGAGAGAGAAAGTTCTTCCATCCACCAGTTCACTCCCCAATTGGCCACAATGGCTGGAGCCAGGCCAGAAGCCAGGAGTCAGGAGCTTCTTCCAGGTCTCCCACATGGGTGCACATGCCCAAGGAACTGGGCTATTTTCTACTGCCTTCCCAGGACATAGCAGAGAGTTGGATCAGAAGTGGAGCAGCCAGGATCAGAACTGGTGCCCATATCAGATGTCGGCACTGCAGGTGGCCGCTTTATCCACTATGCCACAGTGACACCTACCTTTTGAAGATTTTATTTATTTGAGTGGCAGTTAGAGTTAGAGATGGAGAGAAAGAGCGTCCATCCACTGGTTCACTCCCTAAATGGCTGCAACAGCCAGTCGTGCTCTGATATCTCTATTCTTGCTAAACCATAAGCTCTACCAATAACATCCGCTCCATTAAAAAAAAGATAATCACACCAGAGGCACAGGTGTCAGCATAGGGACAGGAGACTTGAAGAAGCAAGGTACATGTGGCCCCCAAAAAACCACAATGGTTCTCCAGAATTAGATCCTGAAGTAAGGGAAATCCATGAAATGTCAGAAATAGAATTTAAAAGAGGATGGCGGAATAGTGAGGGCATGCACCGATAGTCCAGGAAAATTTATTTTAGTAAAAGGGGAGTTACGGTAGCCTCAGAAAAAAGACCAGGAAAAAATCACAGGGGAAACTCTTCTGGATCTAGTGGCTGTGAATTGGAGGACCTACTGGGAGAACAAGGTCACCCACCACGCGGAAGCCGAGCTGCGGGAGCTGCAGGGTTTGCACGCCAGTGCAGGAAGGGGAGTGCATGTCACACAGACACCAACGTGGAGAGCAGGGACGCCCTGGGCTCCGAGTCCACACATCGGTGCTGGAAAGGAGGTGAGCTCAATAACCCAAGACATTGGCGGGGAAATGGGGGTCAGAATCTAGAGGGGAGCCGGAAAGTGCACCAGACTCACTACCGGAGAGAAGGAAAAAAAAAAGGTGGGGGGTTTCTCTCTCCTCCAACCTTGCAAAGGTTGCAAGGCTGCAAGGCTTGCAAGAGTTTACAAGAGTTTGCAAGAGACAAAGAGCAGGCTGCCTCTCTGGATTTACATAACAACAGGGGAGAGCTAAGGAACTGAGTCACTACAATTCAGTAGCCTAGGCAACCCAGTGGGAGTCCGGAGGAGAAACAGAGCCTGCACAGACTCTTTGGGTAGAATCCAGAGATCGGAAGCTAAATACCATCAATTCTGCACAGCCATGCAGTGCGGTATTACTTACCCCCTGAATAAATAAATAAATAAATAAATAAATAGAGATTTACCACGCATAACCTGAGGGTGTCACCTTTGCACACCCATAACCTGGAAGAACCAAGCAGAGCTTTCAGGCCACACCCAAGCCTCCAAGTCTCCTCCAACAGCAGGCAATCCACTTAACACAGACATAATATAAAATAAAAAAATAAAAAAAACACAGTGACGAAAGAAGAATTAACTATGCCAAGCAACAAACACAGAAATCAAGGGAACAAGATCAATGATGACACTATGATGCCTCCAAATAAACAAAACACCCCAAGCCAAGATTATGAAGATGATGAGATAGAAGAAATGCAAGATACAGATGTCAAAAATTTATGATAAGATCATTTAGAAGTTTTCAAAAGCAAATCCTTGAACTACAGAAATCCTTACTGGACAGGATTGAAAATCTCTCTCGTGAAAATGAAATTTGAAGGAAGAATCAAAATGAAACGCAGAAACTAGTAGAACAGGAAAGCGTGATAGTGAGGAGAAATCAAAATGAAATAAAGAGCTCAATAGATCAAATGACAAACACATTAGAAAGCCTTAAAAACAGAATGGGTGAAGCAGAAGAGAGAATATCGGACTTAGAAGATAGAGCACAGGAAAACATACAGTCAAACCAAAAAAAGAAGAGGAAATTAGAAATCTAACAAATATTGTTGGGAATCTACAGGATACTATTTAAAAAACCAACATTCGAGTTCTAGGAGTTCCTAAAGGCATGGAGAGGGAGAAAGGATTAGAAGGCCTTTTTAGTGAGATACTAGCAGAGAACTTTCTGGGTTTGGAGCAGGACAGAGACATCCTAGTAGAGGAAGCTCATAGAACCCCCAATAAACATGACCAAAAGAGTTCCTCACCACGACACGTGGTAATTAAACTCACCACAGTGAAACATAAAGAAAAGATCCTAAAATGTGCAAGAGAGAAACGTCAGATTACTCTCAAAGGATCTCCAATTAGACTCACAGCAGACTTCTCATCAGAAACACTACAGGCTAGGAGGGAATGGCAAGACATAGCACAGGTGCTAAGAGAGAAAAATTGCCAGCCCAGAATATTATATCCTGCTAAGCTCTCATATGTGAATGAAGGTGAAATAAAGACCTTTCGTAGCAAACAGAAATTGAAAGAATTTGTCGCCACTCATCCGGCCCTGCAAAAGACTTAAAGATGTGCTACACTCAGAAACACAGAAACACGGCCATCAATATGAAAGAAGGTAAAGGAAGAATACCTACCAGTAAAAGAGCATGGGAAGCTCAAAGCATATACTAGAAAATAGCTCGGGGAAAATGGCAGGGAAAAGTCACTACATATCAATAGTCACATTAAACATTAATGGTCTGAATTCTTTAGTTAAAAGACACCGATTGGCTGATTGGCTCAAAGAACACAACCCA